GTTAAAATGATCAAAAGAGCCAAGATGTGTGAAAAAAATTAAGATGCTAAAGCTATGTACAGTCATGTGCTGCATAACGATGTTTCAGTTGATGACAGACTGCATATATGATGGTGGCCCCATAAGATTAGTACCATATAGCCTAGGTGTGTGGTAGGCTATACCATCTAGGTTTGGGTAAGTTCACTCTGATGTTTGCACAATGATGAAATTGCCTGATGCATTTCTCAGAACATATTCCCATTGTTAAGTGATGCATGCCCGTACATACAAGGTATTTCTATGGTAAGATTTCAGAGGAACAGAAAGAAAGGGCCTCTGGCCTTCTCCAAAATCCCCTCATCTATGGGTTAAAAACAAAACTTGAATTACCCCTTTGCAATGGGGGAAATAAATATTTGTTTAACGTGAACCATGTGGCAAGTTCTGGGCTGGGAATTTTAACAGAACTAACTCAGTCAGTCCTTACAACATGGCTGTTTGGTGTGTAGTATTATTTCTATTTTTACAGATGAGTTAACCTGAAGCTCAAAGTGATAACTTTCCCAAGATCACACACCTAGCAAGTATTGGAGGCAAGACCAAAATTCAGGTCTGAGCCATAAATGAATTCCCTTAATTATGAAGCCATTCTGCTTCCTAAAGTTGATACATGCTAAATTATAATTTTCCCTGGAGGAATACCTGAATCTCGGTCACTCAGTGTCAGATAGCTGAGTGCCAGTGAGTTTGTCAACTCCTTTTCTCAGAGAAGGTTTTGACTGGGGTTAAAGGATGGAAGCAGAGGGCACTGGATACCACTCAAAGAGGGTGAGGTGACATTAAAAATAGAAGATGCAGGGGAAAGAGCAAGGGCATTGGGAATCAGTCAAGACTGGCTTTGAATTCCAGCTCTATTAAACAGCTCTGTGACTTTGGGAAAGATATTTAGCTTATTTCAATTAAATGAGAATAAGTTGAAGAATTTTAAGGATTGAGGTGATGTTTGTGGGGTTGACATCTGATGTTTTGTTGTCCAACCTTCTATGTCCTTTGAGAGACTGTCCCTTCCATCATTCCATGTGATCCTGTAGGGTTGTTAATTGTGATGACCCCCAACCCTGGCTATAGTGATAATGGTGTAATCTAGAATGGGCCTCTTGTAATATCCTATCCTTTGGCAACAATGGTCTAGAGGTAGGTAACAGATCTAAGCAGGGTCAATCATATGCCTTTTCTGCGTTGACTTTTGGGTGCTGGGGTGGATATAAACTTTTTTCTGGTTGGATTTCTAAACTGGGAGCATATAAAACTGGGGCTGTGGGCAGTCATCTTCCTTTGCATATGGAAAGAGTCTGTCTACAGGATTAACCCATGTAGGGTAGCAGAATTTGCCACCTCAAGATGTATCTCTTTGGAATGAGGATTATTTTGGGCTGGTAACTTTTAAGAAATTGCAGAAAGGGGGTGAGCTGTGAAAACCAAGTAGAAGTAACCATTTGTAAGAGACATTTACATTTGTAAGGTAAATCCCCATCTGTAAAGGTATGTCCCTCTCTGTACCAGGAAGAAGGGGAGATGACCTTATCTCTAGAAACTCTTGTCAATGCAGAAGGCAAGGACTTAAATCTGCATAATACCCTTACTCTTGTTTACTGTGCTTTTTCTGGTAATCTCGCATAACTGACTCCCCCTATCCCAAACACACTCCTTTGTCTTTAGCTAAAGATGGTATTTAAGGTGGCGACCTCAGCCCTTCTGGCGAGTTACTCAGTTTTTGTGGGTTTCTCCCACGTATATGTGCTATAAAGCTGTGTTTGATTTTCTCCTGTTATTCAGTCTCATGTTGATTTAATTCTTAGGCCAGCCAGAAGGACCCAGAGAGTAGAGGAATTGTCTTCCTCCTCTACACCCAACACACAGAAGGGAGTTGAGAGGGTAGAGTGTGTGAGCTCTCCAATCTGCCTGTGCCTGGAGAAGGTTACTCCTTGAACTTCCCAATTTATAAGTTCCTTTTTTTTCTTAAACAGTTTGAATTGGGTTTCTCTCATATGCTTTTGAAAGAATCCTGATTTATACAGTGTTATAGCATATACCATGAATATGCTGAATAAATGATAATACATGTAACAGAGGAAATAGTTTGAAAAAATAGAAATGTGTTTTTTAATTTGCATTTTGGGTTACATGTTTTTTTTTTCTTAGCTTAAGATATCCATCTACTGCTAAGGAAACAAGATTGAGAAGAAAATTTGAAAGAAACATTAACCTTCAGCTTTTGACATTCAAAATAGAATTCTATACCAGGAATACAGCTTGAAAGCTAGACATTGTTGAGAGAGGATTTTTCTAAATTCACTAAATCTCCTCCTTCAACATATCAACAGCCAGACTTATACAGACACAAAGTATAAGGGGTCAAGTTCTTGCCTTCTAGGTCTGCACTGTGAGAAAAACTAAGAGAGGTAGGATAGGCGATAGACATAGCCTAATTTCTCCTGTTCTCTGTGCAGTGGGTCTTGAGCCAATAAGGCATGCCTCAGCATACTTAAGTGGGGTGGAAATGTAGTAATACAGAGAAAAGATCTACCTCCTTGGGTCTTTGTGGTGAGTTTAGAGTTACTCCACCTGCAGTGGAAGTATAATGGAAGCATGCCACTTTAAAGTCCTGACACCCAGACCCTATGAGTGTACTAAGCCCTATGGGAGGGAGTAACACTGCTAATGGAATTTTCTGTTCAGAAGACTGATCCTGCCCTACTTGGTTCCCGTTTCATTCTTAGACAGCTGCAATTATTTGAAAGTTATTTCTTTTACTGAGTTGTATCTGTTTTCTTTTTCAACCATACCAATACCCCATTTTTGTTCTCTTGAGCCATCCAGACTAAGTAATTTTTAAAAATAAGAACCCTACCAAAGTTTGAAGACACCACTAATGATTTCCCACTAAATATTCTTTTGGCTAAACATCTTTAGGTTTCTCAACTAGTCCTCAAAGACTAAGATTTCAAGTCCCCTAATCATTTTGGCTGCTTTTTTTGGGACACACTCTAATTTTGCAAGGTTTCTTATTACATATCGTGTCCACAACTGGATACAGATACTTCAGATGTGGGCTGCCAGGTGCAACGAGATTATCACCTCCCTTGATCTCAACACTAGTCTTCTGTTAAAGTAATTTATGGAGCAAGAACAAGCTAATTCTTCTGAAGCCAGTAACAAGTAGCAATGGTTTTTAAGTCATCCTTGGGACATTGAAAGCCTAGAGGTGGGGGATGATGGTCGGGGCTGAGGGACACACTCAACTTCATTCCGTATTTGGCTTTTATATGCCAGTATATTCCTAGTTTTAAAAAGAGCTATATTTTCTCACACTGGGGCATGATTTGCATGAAAAATAAAAAACTCACAAGTAGATTTTTCATTTGTTTAACTCTTGCTCCTGGCTTTCTGGTCCAGGTTTAATGAAACCCAACCAGAAAATATATTTAAGTCCAATTAAGTTTCTCGCTCTGGGATTATTATTCTTATTCAGATTCTCCACAGATACAAGAAGGTCTTTTTATACTTGGGGTTCTGTTTTAGTGTTCTGCATGGTTCTTATATTCCCTCCTCACCCTTTCCTATAGTTCTGCTGCTATGCAAATTGAGAAAGACCAAAGGTATTCTTAGACAAAGCAAGTAGTATTATTTAAGGCACTTGTGAACCTAGGAGAAAGTAGTGAAGTACAGGCACATTAGCAAACAAAGAACCATGAATCCTTAGATGGCTTCACCAGCTAGTCAATTCGAGTTGATTATTGCCCTTAAACTTCCAGCTCTGGATTAGGATGCTTGCAGCATGATTTATTTAGTCAGCACCATTTCGTGACTCCACACTTTTTTCTCTTTATCTGAAATGATCTAGTCAGAGACTCCCTGCAAATGCCAGGCATTAACTATATCACAATGCTAATTCTTTGACTGAAGCCTGTCTTGATTTGGTGGAAAATGACTTCAGTGTATGGGATTTACGGTTCATTTAACAAGTGCGGTAGATGTCAATACATTAATATAAACCTGGTGCAGGTAGTAATTTTATTTCTAATGAGGTGCTCGACTAACATCCTACTATAAAAGTAGGACATTGTTCAGTGGGGACAGAATATACATGTCTAATCAGGTCTAAGAAACATGCTAGTTGAGCATCACGATGATATTTGGACCACTTGACTTCTCTGGGACTCGGTCTCCATGTCTGCAAAATGAGTATGTTGGACAAAGGCCTTTGCAGCTCTGAACCATTTAGGATTTTATTAGTCATTTTTAGGACATGTGCTTTGTAATGGACATGGATTCACATGAGCAATTTGTGCTGTGATCTGCACTCCCTACCATAAGCCATGACTCCACCAACTCTTGCCTAACTGCCGAGTCTCTTGTGGATCTAAATGTCTTGCAAGTGAGACACTGATCGCCCATTGTTCCAGAGTATGTTTTTGAGGATGTTTATATAGGGAAAAGCCTTGCAATGCAGAGATAGTATCTCCCTCAGGTGCAAAGGGCAGGCATGCTTATTGCCCATTATAAAAGATTCTATAAGCTTGAGTTCGGTAACCTCAGGGTTCCTCTCCTGTGATGCAACCTACTTCATGTACAGGTGTCATTTGACCCTCTTCACATTGTCCTGTAGAAACTGGGACTCTAGAACCAAAGCAAAAGTGCTGATACTCTGGCTGCTGCTATTGCTATGAGCAATAAATTGTCCTTGATTTCTAATCCAGGAATCTCAAGTTTTCTACCAGTATCCATGAGATTGTGGCAGGCTAACTTGCTAGCTTCTAAGTAGAATAAAATATCAGACCCTTCACAGTTCTTGACAACAACTCCAGTTCACATTCACTTTCCTTTTTTTTGTTTTTTTAAGGAAGATTGTTGCTGAGCTAACATCTCTGCCAATCTTCCTTTATTTTATGTGGGATGCCACCACAGTGTGACTTGATGTGCAGTGCTAGGTCTGTGCCTGGGATCTGAACCCTGGGCTGCCGAAGTGGAGCATGCAACCTCTATGCCACCAGGTTGGCCCCTCACTTTCCTCTTTTCTTAATGCCACCACCTAGCCTCTGAACAATCCAACTCAAAACACATTCTTTTATCTAATTGTATTATATGTTAATCTTATCTCCCAACTAGATTGTAAGCACTTGAGATCAGTCACCATGCTAATGCTTTTTCTGTCTACCCTTTAGCAGCTGGCACAGGGGTGGGTACATAGTAGGAACTCAATTTTGACTGGCTTTGACTGGCTTTGGACATACGCATGCCAGCTGAGCTAAAATACTCTCTACTTTTTACCATTGAGCTTCTTGGCTGGGATGTCTTATTATGAATGAAAACTATAGACTTATTCCACTAGAAATAGAGAAGCTCTAATGAGACAGGGAAAGCTGTTTGTTTTTCAGGCATCTAGGATGCAAGGCATGGGCATTCCTTAATCAAGTGGAGATCATTTGACTAAGGCGCCAGTTGCAAAGCTATTCTGAACCCCACATTTCCAAAGATATCAGGGACAGTTTGTTGTGCTGGGCTGCTAATAATTACCATGTTCTGGCTGCTTAAGAACTAGAATATAGTCTCTGTGTTTCTGTAGAGTTCAAGAGCCTCGGGAGGGCATCTACACCAGCCCACTGCCTTCAGCATCAATGGGAACTCATTTGACATTTAATACAAATCTCAGAGGAGGATTTGACTCCCTATGAGTGCATTTCCCAAAGCCATACACTTGCTGCTTGTATTATTGTAAGTATCCTATTATTAATGGCCCATTATACCAGCAAGAAAGATGTCTATATATGCGTTTTCATTTGGCTTATCATTGTTTCCAATAGTCTGGATTATTCAATTAATCTAACTTTAGTTTTCTCTAAGGGAATATGGAGACGCAACACGCTTTTTGCCGTTAGTGCTAAAACGTTAAGACTCAGGGCTCTTTCTTGTGGCTATGGCCCTGAGGATGCACTCCCTACTCCCATAATAAATTTTGTCTCCTTTCTCTTTCCCTCTTTTTTTTGGCAGTTATTGGGGCTGCAACATACTCTCAATTCAGTCTTTCTGAGTACAACTGATAATACTTTATAGCTGTGACACAGTTATCATTTTCTAACTTTAGCTTTGCATATCTGGCATTTTCTAACTTTAGTTTTGTAAATTCAGGCAGTTCCTTCTCACCTAGAAATAGTTCCAGCCGTTTGAATTTGGGTGTGCTGCCACCAAGTGGTTGCCAGTTCTTTGATAGGCATGGTCTCATAATTCAAACTGTAGGCCGTGTTGTTTTTGTTGTTGTTGGTGGTGGTCTCTGTGTTAGGATTGGGCTAGTGTGATGCTCGTGAATAGGTGAAAGTCTCAGGTATCAGAGGGAGTTGGGGGTAAATCTTCATGAAGCAGCAGGAAGATAATTGAAGAACAAAAAATGGGCCGTAACTTGAGGAGGGGAGAGGAAAGGCCATCTGCGGTTCAAAGAATGAGATCAGGGAGAGAGGAGTTGCCGAGTGAAGGGGACAGGGAAATAATAAACAAAAAGGAAAATGACCCAGAGTTAAGTGAACTTCATCATTGAGTCAATTTTCATTTTTTGTTTCTGTACTTTTCTGCAGTTCCTGTACTTGATGGGGAGTCTGAATAGCAAGATAGATGTACTATCTTGAGCAGGATTGTGTCTTGTACATCTTTGTGTCCCCTGCAGTGTTTAGCATAGTGCTGGGCACATAATTAGTCCTTAATAAAGGTCTGTTGAATGAATGACCCAAACCTGCAGAAGTTGAGCCAATATGTATTGGAGGTAGGGGGGCTGGCTTGAGGCATAAGGGCAGCTTCCAACAAGCAAGTCTTGATGATGTCCTGCCTCTGTCATTAAGCTGAGGCCCTGCACAAATTTATCTGGCTCCTATGATCAATTTTCCAAATTATAACCTTTTCTAAACCTTCTTGGTAAGGTACTTACATACCTTCTTTTTTTTTTTCTTTCTTTAAAATCTCAGATCCCAGGCCCTTGAAGTCTTTCATACCTCTGAACCAGTCTGGAGGCTTGGAAACAGATGACACGTGGAAGCTTCTGATTGAAAGATGTGCGACCTAGGGCTTCTTCCATTCGTAAGGTGTGTAGGGAATGACTGGATAGGGCTTTTAAAAAATGCATATGGAGAGAAAACTGAGGATCATTCCAGGTAGGATGGTTATCGGAATTAACACCCTGGTCAGACATGGTTCTTCTCCAGAAGGGGGTTTACCCCTGCACGATAATATGTGTGCCATGTTATTTTTGGCCCTGGCTAACTTATGATCACATAATTTGTTTTTAAAGATACACATGCCTGGATCTCACCCATTACCCAAATATGATAATTCATGAAAATCTGGTGAAATTGTCCTTGGTGCTTTCCTTAATGTGGTAGTTAAATCCTTGAGGAGAATAGTTTTAGTAAGCGGGTATGATGACGTATTTGGTACCATAAACCTCCACATCTCTAACACAGAATTCCCCAACCAGGGCTCCATGTGGAGCAGTATAGCATAGTGGATAACAGCATGGGCTTTGGAGTCAGACATACCTAGGTTCAAATTTTACCTCTGCCTTGTTTGACATCAGGCAAGTCACTTAACCTCTCTGTGCCTTGGGTTCCTAACCTGTAAAATGAAGTAATATTAGCTACCTTACATGGTTGTTATGAAGGTTAAAGTAAATGGCAAGACACATGCAGTGTGCTTAACACAGTGCTTAGCATATAGTAAGTACATGATCACTGGTAGCTGTTAGATACATTTCTTCCTAGAACACAAACTTCACGAAGTGATGGCCCTGCATAGTGTCTTGTCTAGCTCACCACTATGTCCTTGCTCTCAGCTTCCGAGGCTTGTGCAGATTCCCTGCACACAGACACTCAGGCTATCTTCTGCCCCACAGAGTGCCAAACAAGTGGGAGCTTGTGAGCTAAGTAGAATGTCATTTTGAGTCACCGTTGCTCTAATTTCTTTAGACATTTCTGAAGAACAATTGGATTCCCTTCAGTTTTAATTTCCCTCCCTTCCCAGATAAATTTTCCAAATGTCCACTTCCTATTTCCTTGATCAAGGCCAGAGTTGAAGGAAGCTAACCTTCAATCTCCAACCAGGCTGAGAGCACCAATTGGGCTCAAGAGCAAATTGTATTGGAAAAGCAGCAGAAGCACTGAAATGAATTGTCATGAAATGAGGCTTCAAATGAAAGCACAAGGCAGAGCCTGGTCCTAATTGGCAGTGGAGTTACTCAGGTAAGAGGCCAATTCCAAATGTCCCGTTGCCGAACTTTTGGAACATGCGTGCCCCCTCCCCCAGTCACCTCCTGCCGTCCACATACAGCCTTTGGAAGATGACCATTGGGTAAACGTAACACTGAGTTATTTCACATTTCTTTCAAATCTCTAATCCATAAACTATGTGAAGACACAGAAAATGTCTGAATCATGTTATAATTTGAAATGTTCCCTGTGGTAGGGTGAATAATGATACCCCAAATATTTCTACATCCTAACGCCTGGAAACTGTGAAGCTGTTACCTGATATGCAAAAGGGACTTTGCTGATGGGATTAAGTTAAGGATCTTTTTTTTTATTGCAGTAACATTGGTTTATAACATTATATAAATTTCAGGTGTACATCATTATATTTCAATTTCTGTGTAGATTACATCTGTTCACCACCCAAAGACTAGATACAATACATCCCCACACACATGTGCCTAACCACGCCTTTCGCTCTCCTCCCTCCTCGCTTCCCCTCTGGGGGGATCCCCTCCCACATCCCCACATCCAATCTCTATTTCTAAGTGTGTGTTTGTTATTGTTTTTATCTCTATTTATGAGTGAGATCATACGGTACTTGACTTTCTCCCTCTGACTTATTTCGCTTAGCATAATACCCTCAAGGTCCATCCACGTTGTCACAAATGGCAAGATTTTGTCATTTTCTATTGCTAAGTAGTGTTCCATTGTGTATATATACCACATCTTTATCCATTCGTCCCTTCGTGGACACCTAGGTTGCTTTCAAGTCTTGGCTAATGTGAATAATGCTGCAGTGAAGACAGGAGTGCATGTATCTTTATGCATTCGTGTTTCCATGTTCTTTGGATAAATACCCAGAAGTGAAATAGCTGAATCATATGGTAGTTCTATTCTTAATTTCTTTTTCTTGAGGAAGATTAGCCCTGAGCTAACATCTGCCACCAATCCTCCTCTTTTTTTTTTTTTGCTGAGGAAGACTGGTCCTGAGCTAACATCCATGCCCATCTTCCACTACTTTATATGTGGGACGCCTGCCACAGCATGGCTTGACAAGCCATGCAAAGGTCCGCATCTGGGATCTGAACTGGTGAACCCCGGGCTGCCGAAGTGGAACATGCAAACTTAACCACTGCACCAGTAGGCTGGCCCCCTATTCTTAATTTTTTGAGAAATCTCCATACTGTTTTCCATAGTGGCTGCACCAGTTTGTATTCCCTCCGGCAGTCTATGAGGGTTCCTTTTTCTCCACAACCTCTCCAACACTTGTTCTGTCTTGTCTTAATTATAGCCATTCTGACGGCTGTAAGGTGATATCTCATTGTAGTTTTGATTTGCATTTCTCTAATAATTAGTCATGTTGAGAATCTTTTCATGTGCCTGTTGGCCATCTGTATATCTTCTTGGGAGAAATGTCTGTTCAGATCTTTTGCCCATTTTTCAATTGGGTTGTTAGTTTTTTTGTTGTTGAGATGTATGAGTTCTTTGTATATTTTGGATATTAACCCCTTATCAGATACATGGTTTGCAAATATTTTGTCCCAATTGTTAGGCAGTCTTTTTGTTTTGTTGATAGTTTCTTTTTCTGTGCAGAAGATTTTTAGTTTGATGTATTCCCATTTTAAAATTTTTTCTATTGTTTCACTTGACCAGTCAGACATGGTACTTGAAAATATGCTGCTAAGACTGAAACAAAGAGCATACTGCCTATGTTTTCTTTGAGATGTTTCATGGTTTCGGGTCTTACATTCAAGTCTTCAATTCATTTTGAGTTAATTTTTGTGTATGGTGTAAGATAATGGACTATTTTCATTCTTTTGCAATTGGCTGTCCAGTTTCCCCAACACCATTTATTGAAAAAGACTTTCCTTTCTCCATTGTATGTTCTTGGCTCCCTTGTCGAAAATGAGTTGTCCATAGATGTGTGGGTTTATTTCTGGGCTCTTGCTTCTGTTCCATTGATCTGTGTGTCCGTTTTCTTGTCAGTACCATGCTGCTTTGATAACTATAGCTTTGTAGTATGTTTTGAAATCAGGGGGAATGATACCTCCAGCTTCTTTGTTCTCAGGATTCTTTTGGTTATTCAGAGTCTTTTGTTGTTCCATTTAAAATTTAGGATTCTTTGTTCTATTTCTGTGAAAAATGTCATTGTAACTTTGATAAGGGTTGCATTGAATCTGTATATTGCTTTAGGAAGTATAGACATTTTAACTATGTTAATTCTTCCAATGCAAGAGCATGGAATATCATTCCATTACTTTGTGTCTTCTTAAATTTCTTTCAACAATGTCTTATAGTTTTCAGTGTACAGGTCTTTCACCTCTTTGGTTACCTTTATTCCTAGGTATTTTATTCTTTTTGTTGCAATTGTAAATGGGATTGTATTCTTAATTTTTCATTCTGTTACTTTGTTGTTAGTGTATAGAAGTGCAACTGATTGTTGTTTGTTGATTTTGTATCCTGAAACTTGACTGTATTCTTTTATTATTTCCAAAAGTTTTTTTAGTGGATTCTTTAGGGGTTTCTATATATAAAATCATATCATCTGCAAATAGTGACAGTTTCACTTCTTTTCCAATTTGGATCCCTTTTATTTCTTTTTCTTGCCTGATTGCTCTGGCTAGGACTTCCAATACTATGTCAAATAAGAGTGGTGAAAGTGGGCCTCCTTGTCTGGTTCCTGTTCTTAGAAGGATGGCTTTCAGTTTTTCTCCATTGAGAATATTAGCTGTGGGTTTCTCATACAGGGCCTTTATTATGTTGATGTATTTTCCTTCTATACTCATTTTATTTACAGTTTTCATCATAAATGGATGCTGTATCTTGTCAAATGCTTTCTCTACATCTATTAAGATGATCATATGATTTTTATTCTTCATTTTGTTAATGTGGTGTATCACGTTGATTGATCTGCAGATGTTAAACTATCCCTGCATCCCTGGAATGAATCCCACTTGATCATGATGTATGATCTTTTTAATGTATTGTTGTATTAGATTTGCTGGGTTTTTCTTGAGGATTTTTGCATCGATGTTCAGAGGGATATTTGCTTGCAATTTTCTTTTTTTGTGTTGTCCTTGTCTGGTTTTGGTATCAGGTAATGTTGGCTTCATAGATTGAGTTAGGAAGCTTCCTCTCCTCTTCAGTTTTTTGGAAGAGTTTGAGAAGGCTAGGTATTAAGTCTTCTTTGAATATTTGGTAGAATTTACCAGGGAAGCCGTCTGGTCCTGGACTTTTATTTTTTGAGAGGTGTTTGAATACTGTTTCAAGCTGCTTACTGGTGATTGGTCTATTCAAATTTTCTATTTCTTGTTGATTCAATTTTGAAAGATTGTATGATTCTAAGAATTTATCCATTTCTTCTAGATTATCTGATTTGTTGCCATATAGCTTTTCATACTATTCTCTTATAGTATTTTATATTTCTGAGGTGTCCATCGTAATTTCTCCTCTTTGTGATTTTGTTTATGTGAGCCTTCTCTCTTTTTTTCTTCTTGACTCTAGCTAAAGGTTTGTCAATTTTGTTTATCTTTTCAAAGATCAAGCTCTTTGTTGCATTGATTTTTTTCTCTTGTTTTCTTGTCTCTATTTCATTTATTTCCACTCTTGTTTTTATTATTTCCTTTGTTCTACTGATTTTGGTCTTTGTTCTTCTTTTTCCAGGTCCTTTAGGTTGACTGTGAGATTGTTTATTTGAGATTTTTCTTGTTTCTTGAGGTAGTCCTATATTGCTATAAACTTTCCTCTTAGAACTGCTTTTGCTGTGTCCTGTAAATTTTGGCATGTCGTATTTTCATTTTCATTTGTCTCCAGGTATTTTTTGATTTCCCCTTTGATTTCTTCAATGACTCAGTCATTGTTCAGTAGCATTTTGTTTAGTCTCTACATTTTTGTGGCTTTTCCCATTTACTTCCTGTAGCTGATTTCTAATTTCATACCGTTGTGGTCAGAACAGATGCTTGGTATTATATCAATCTTAAATTTATTGAGACGTGTTTTGTGGCCTAATATGTGATCTAGCCTGCAGAATGTTCCATTTGTGTTCCAAAAGAATGTGTATTCTGTGGTTTTTAGGTAGAATGTTTTATATATATCTACTAAGTCCATCTGGTCTAATGTGTCATTTAATGCCCTTGTTTCCTTATTAATATTATGTTTGGATGGTTTTTCTATTGGTGTAAGTGGAGTGTTAAAGTCCCCTACTGTTATTGTGTTGCTATATATTTCTCCTTTTATGTCTCTTAATAGTTGCTTTATATATTTAGGTCCTCCTATGTTGGGTGCATATATATTTACAAGTGTTATATCCTCTTGTTGGATTGTTCCCTTTATCATTATCTAATGCCCTTCTTTGTCTCTTGTTACATTTTTTTAATGTTTATTTTGTCTGATATAAGTATTGCTACCTCAGCTTTGTTTTCATTGCCATATGCATGGAGTGTCTTCTTCCATCCTTTCACTTTCAGTTTGTGAGTGTCTTTAGGTCTGAAGTGTTTCTCTTATATGCAGCATATATATGGGTCTTGTTTTTTTTTTCCAATCGGCCACCCTATACCTTTTGAATGGAGCATTTAGTTCCTTGACATTTAAGGTTGCTATTCATAAGAATGTACTTATTGCCATTTTTTTTAACCTTTTTCTGGGCGTTTTAGTAGTTTTTCTCTGTTCCTTTCTTCTTCTCTTGCTCTCTTCCCTTGTGGTTTGATGGTTTTCTTTAGTATCATATTTGAGTTCCTTTCTCTTAATTATTTGTGTATTTCTTATAGGTTTCTGTGTTTGTGATTACCATGAGGTTCATATATAATAACCTATGTATATATCAAACTATACTGAGTTGATTGTCTCATCTCTTTAGTTTGACCTGTTGCTAAATGCTCTGCTCTTTTACTCCTCTCCTCCCACATTTTATGTTTTTGATATCATATCTAACCTCTTTTTTGTGCATGTGTATCTGTTACCCTCTTATCATGGTAATAGATAATTTTAGTACTTTTGTCTTTTGACCTTCATATTAGCTTCATAGGTGATTGATCTGTACCTTTACTATATATTTCCCTTTACCTGTGATATTATTGTTTGTTTTGAAAATTTTCTTATTCCTATTTGTGGTCTTCTATTTTCCACTTAAATAAATGCTTTAGCATTTCTTGTAACACTGGTTTCTTGGTGATAAACTCCTTTAATTTTTGTTTATCTGGAAAGCTCTTTATCTCTCCTTCAATTCTGAATGATAACGTTACTGGGTATTCTTGGCTGTGGTTTTCTCCTTTCAGCACTTTAAATATA